ATGCTACGGTTGTGTTTGTCCGATGCTTTTTTTGAGAGCCCCCAGCCGCTAACGCATTAACACTCACCGCTATCTCTGGACGATCGTGTATCTCGGGATTTGGAGTGATCAACACTGGAGCCTTGACAGTGGCCTGTTTTAGCTGGGACACTTCGTCTGTGTCTGCTCACACCATTTCCACTGGGCACCTTTCTTTAGTCGTTGGTACAAGGGACCTGCAATAGAAGCCAAATTGGGACTGAAATCCCTGTGGTACCCCATTAAACCCCAAAACGATCTTAAAGCCGTTGGGTCCTGTAGTAAAGGCAATGTTTGGATTGCATCTACTTTCTGTTGTGCCGGGGTTCCACCCCATTGTCAGGGTGAGGCCCAAGAAAGAGAGACAATTGGCCATTAGCTGTGCCTTGGCCGGATTGCACTTTAACCCTGCTTCCTTTAGGATCTGCAGGAGCTCGTCAAGTCTTTCTAAATGCTCCTTTTTAGTCTGTGTAGCTAAACACGGGTCATTTAAACCACACAGCCTCTGGATGAAAGGACTTGATTAGATTTGGCATTTTGGCCCTTGTGGGGACACAAGTGGGTGTGACCTGATTCAGGCGTCTGTAATCTATTGTGAGAGGCCAAGAACCATCTGGTTTCTTCACAGGCCAAATGGGGGAATTGGCAGTAGAAGTACATCTACGTAGTACTCCCTGTGTCAGTAAAGACTTGATAGTAAAGTATCAGGGGGTAGCCGTGTTAGTCTGTATCTACAAAAACAGCAAGGAGTCTGGTGGCACCTTAAAGACTAACAGATTTATTTGCATCCGAAGAAGTGAGGTTGTTACCCACGAAAGCTTATGCCCAAATAAATCTGTTAGTCTTTAAGGTGCCACCAGACTCCTTGTTGTTTTTGGCTTGATAGTAGTCTTTCCTAGGTACAGGTTTGCCTGGTCTGGGTAAGGACACTGTCTCTGGGCTGAAATCTCTCCTCCTTCCACAACAAGAGTGACTGCCATGCATCCACAATCATGTTTGTGTTTAGCAAAGGCATTCGCCTGCTTGCGAAGTAACGCCTGTAACTCAGGTTGGTCTGCGTGATTAGCCACTGTTTTGTTCAACTCATACCCCTCAGGTTCAGAGTCCTCCGCTGGATCCGGGGAACTACAGGCCAGTCAGCCTCACCTCAGTCCCTGGAAAAATCATGGAGCAGGTCCTCAAGGAATCAATTCTGAAGCACTTAGAAGAGAGGAAAGTGATCAGGAACAGTCAGCACGGATGCACCAAGGGCAAGTCATGCCTGACTAACCTAATTGCCTTCTATGAGGAGATAACA